CACTCTGAGGCATCACCGCTCGCTGAGCGCCGCGCGTTGACTGTGCGCTCCATCCTGCGCAGGGAGGCTGATGGTGGACGCGTCTCTCTAGTCGGTTAGGAGTGGAGCCGCCTCCATGTTTGTAGAAGGGACTCTCTGTCACCGCACCGAACCCTCGAAGTGACCGCGACATGGACGCGTTTTGTGGAAGCGGCGGGAGCCTGGGCTCCAAATTCTGGGTAAGAAAGTTCCGTTTTCAGGTTCATTTTTATATTTGAAGGAAACTTTTTTTGTGTGAAAAATATTGTTTTGCGTCAGAACGCGCGTCGTTGTTTCCCCCCCGTTGGCGTCGCCGCGCGAACGTTCCTGTGAATGTTCTTTTGTTTCCAGTTTGCGTTGTCGCTTCCTCCGCCAGGAGATCCGACACCTCGGCGAGTTCTGTGATTGTCTGAGGGACGCGCGTTCATTCATTCCGGTGACTTGACGGGAAAGAGAACCGGTCGTGTGGCCGTCCAATCGGAAACCCTCGGAAAGTTTTGTCCTCTCCGGAGACGCAGAATCGCCGTGCGGTGTCTGCCGGGAACAAGTGTCGGAGCGTCTGAGGTGCTCGGCGAGCGCTGAGCCGCGGCGAGTGACGTTTACTGGCGGGACCTTCATTCCGGCGCGGAGAGCGAGTCACGCGTCACGCCGAAAATAACGGTCGTTGTGAATAAGAGGCGACAATGTCATCCCAAATCTCCTTACTTCTTCCAGAGTTACATGCTAATGAATGTCCCGTGTGCGTGTCCATGTGTGTACGTGTATCTGTCCGTGGGTATATACCTGTCTGTGTGTCATGTGAATACATATGTGCATGTGTGTGTGTGTATCTATATGTGTGGATATATATGTATCTGTCGGTCCATGTTGTGTCTGTGTTGTATGTTGTGTTGCATGTTGTGTCTGTGTTGCATGTTGTGTCCGGGTTGCGTGTTGTGTCCGCGTTGCGTGTTGTGTCCGCGTTGCGTGTTGTGTCCGCGTTGCGTGTTGTGTCCGCGTTGCATGTTGTGTGTTGTATGTTGTGTAATGTTTTCATCTCTGTACACAATCCTCCGTGATGTAACATTGTATTTGGTTTCTCGGAGTAACTTGTCTCTCCAGTAAAGTTGCTTTTGGATGACATGGATCCCGATCC